GCTGGTCTATTGTGCACCTGTTCGTGCTGTACTGTTGTACGGATGCGAGACCTGGCCCATTCGTAAAGATGACTTGCGCAGGCTATCCGTCTTCGAGCACCGCTTTTTGCGGTCCATTACCCGTGGGTGGTGGCGGCACCACGTAAGCAACGTGGAGATTACACAGCGTGGTTTGGGACGAGGAAGTCACTCGCTCGAGGAGCTCGTCTCACTGCATCAACTGCGGTGGCTGGGACACGTATTGCGCATGCCTGTCCAGCGTTACCCGCGTCGTGCGTTGTTTGCGGTTGCTGGACAGGGCTGGAAGAGACACTCTTTTGGGCAGCCTGCAACTTGGAGAAGCCGCATGAAAGAGCTGACGAAACGGTTGGCCTCGGCCGGTTGTTATCGACTACCTGGTTGGGGTCCGAGAGATGCGGATACTTGCTGGCTGAAGACATTGGAAGCAATAGCTCAAAATCGATGTCAGTGGCGGACATGTGCATCGGTGTGTTGCGGTGCCCCTCCTCCCTCCCTCCAAAAAAAACAAACCGAAAAAACTTTCAAAAACTGTGAGTGGCAAACTGGGCGAATTAAGCTTTTGTTGTTGTTGTTATTTTCGTATTGTTCATACTGTTATCCTATTGGGTCATGATTCCGATGGCACAATATCTGTACCATATATATATATATATATATATATATATATATATATATATATATATATAAATTTTGGCACATAACATTAGGAATGGCAATTTACTTGTATTCCAAATAATGCTTCACTGCCGCACCAACTTACAGGTGTGGATCCTCGCTGGGTTACCGCCCAAATCATCAAAGCTTATCAGAAATATTAGGTTCTGCCGTCGAAACCAATTCTCCTGTCCCCAACCGCACGAGAACGGGAACTAGGCAACCGTTCGCAAGCTGAACTGTTTCCTCACAGCAGTCGTTTGTCATCATGTTCTCATCTTTCCATTTGGACGCCCAAGAGTTTGCATTTAAATAAATAAATAAATGGGTTTGTTTCCCTACCAGCGGGATATGTTTCCTTTTGTGAAACGATCATTTCTTACCTCCAGCCAATAAGGATGACGAATGCCCAACAAATAGGCTTCTGACGATTGATGGGTAGAGTCAACAAACCAAGCTTGGGTTTTTCTTTGGGTCCTTTCTCTTAGGTCCGGATTTTTATTGAGTCATGCAAATAACTGCCCGTGCTTAGTGTTCCGAAAGTTGGGAACCAGACGGAACGCACTCAGCAATACCGGGAATCCGCACTTCGCGGTAACTGCCTCGATTTGTTAGCTGTATTACCAGCAATACCGAGCAATCGTTCTATCGCCACCTGAGCTCGACATCTGATACTGATATGGATCCAATTTGCCGATTTTAAGTAGTTCATTTAGTTATTCCTAGACTCAGCGAATTCGGATATCTGAATAGTTATTAGTCATACTGGCACTTGATTTCGGTTCACGCAACATCTTGCGGAGTATTAACTTTAGATATTCGATACCCACAGTTAGCTGGGTTCGGTAGATATCTGTTACGTAGCTCCCAGAGTTCCTTGTAACTTGCACACAGTTCGCCTGGGCTCACTTCGGCTATACTGTTACATTACGGCGATTTAAACTGCTATCGTGTCAAGACAAACGACTTTCCCTAGTGACGCTGTTGTCTTTACCTTTTCAAGTCACAGTGAGCCACCTGAGCTCACCTCGGAACACTACCAATGCGTGACAACTCGTACCTCGCCAACATTCACTTTCCCCTGTAGTTTATCTATTACGCTGTTGCGCTATATGTCATTCTTTCTTTTTTCGGTCTTGGTGCGGTCGTGCGAGGTTACACGTTTCGTTCGCAGTCTCAGCTGGCCAGCTGGTCACTTATGCCTTATCGATTCGAGTTCATTTGGCTTCTCTGCGCGTAGGTTATTATTGCTGAAGAGCGTTACGTCCATTACTACTGAATCGAAACAGCTGGACTTGTTATAAAATACTCCTGAGCATTCGTCATGCACCGAACTCAGCCATCTGTTGTGAATTTTTCCAAGGCCAACTTATTGTTGCCTGACCCACGTCATTCTACTACCTGTGCATTGTGCTAACTACTTGGTGATCTTTATACCCATATGAGTGCTTTCTTATTTTGTTGATTCTAGGTGCATGTGCTTACCTGTGCTTCCAACTGATTTTGACACCTTCCCCTGGCTTACTGACATTGCACTTGTTAACCGATTATCCTTAACTTTGTTTTCTCCTATGGACTCTAGGCCTCCTTGAATGACTTCTGGGCAATTATCATGATGCAAGTATAGCTGCTTGCTAGCGCCAGTCATAGAAGCAAATATGGAATAAGAGCTCTGTAGGTAAATTTTAGGACCTGAAGCTAATCAAGCTGCATTATTGTAAAGATGAGACCAGTGCCACGTTACGTGGAATTTAGATCGCACGAGAATTGTGGTATAACTCATTGGACGAAGTATTTCCCACCAACATTTTGGCTCAACTACTTCCAATTTTAGGTGAATGAAGTTTCCATCTCGCAACCTGAGGCCAAGCCATAATTCAGTGTCTCGTAATTCACACCCGTTGATTACGGGTGCGTATTCACGGGGAATAATTCGGTGAAAGCTCCGACCGGTTGCTTTCTTGGATGAGGGAGATTTGTCACAAATTGCCGATATCAATGGTTTTCCTCCATAGCATGCGGCTTTGGTGTTTATAATACATTAATGCTTAATCGACCGGGGCCGTTGTGTTTACCTCAGATTACTGGTGGCACCACGGTAACGCTGCGTGGTTCAGTCGATCGATTCAGTCGATCAGTCTGGACTTGTCAACCTCTATCTTCGGCGACTTCCTGTCATTGGTACTATCTCAAGGTTAAGGTGAAAGCCAGCCTAAATTTACTCATACCCAACTTCGCAGGTAGGTGCAGGTCGGCAATACGGCATGAGAAAACACTGAGTCTTCCTGCTACTCACAAGTAGTACGTATAAGCGACCCAATCAGCAAGGTTGCCAACTACGCTTCACTGTAATGGTGATGCCACAGCGCATTGTGGAGAAACGTATGCAACCAACTTGTCAAACTCGACGAACAAATCCGCAGCTGAACGGTTGGTGGCTTTCATTGACTCTTGCTAATGATTAGGCACGGTCTGTTTGTGATTCTAAGAAGTCATAACAGGGTCTGCGTATTGATTGGAAATAAGATAGTTTAGGGTCGGGCGATCACACCGAATAGTCGCGTTTTTCAAAACCGTCAAATACCATATCTGATCATTCTTGACGGTGAAGATGCTTTGAGTTGCGATCAGTATACCAAGAATCGACGTAATACAATTCGAGATGCCATTATTAATGCAGTGAAAATTGTGGAACATTCATTAGAATCTGAGGGAAACCAAACGAAGTAAGCTGGGGAAAAGGAAGACCATGACAGTTTCTCATGATTGAAGTGCTTACCTTCAGGAACACACAGGGCATAATAAGATAGCTCTAACAATGCTTCCATGCTTGCTTTAGAACCACATCGCTCGTTTGATTGACTCCACGTTCATTATCTAGGTATATGACGTGTTTAAATGTTATCCGACCTCTCGGTTAACCTGCTTTTCCTCTTCGCGATGGTATTACATGGCTGTCTTGAAGTATTGTTTAACGACTTTATTTTGATCAGATGTATGCGGTACGACAGAGAACCATCTAGCGTACGGCCGACTCGACCCAGTCTGTAGAGAGTGTCCGGGTATCGATATCAGCAGCAACATCTTTTCGCTTGGGCTTTACTACCTTACAGCTGGAAGCTAAAAGATGCGATTCTGTTAATAACTTATATTTGCGGTGAATATCGTACCTGAGGAGCACGCTTCCCACACTCTACCGGTATTAAAAAGCTACTACGTGAACATAAGGTGGCAATGCTCACAAAGCCTAGTTAGTGCTTTCACTACTCCGCCCTATACGATAGCAGTTTGCTATCGCCCTACTTGAGTGGCCCTGCTGCGGAGCGACAGGAATAATGCCGCTGTTTCTGGGTGGTCTTTTGACCAATATCTCGACCAAAGTACAGGACTAGTCGAGTGGACCCTAATCCTGTGACTTCAACTGCATATGCAAAGTTATACTATGCGCTCTTCCAACTTTGTGTTATCAAATCAAGAAAATGCACCCCATCGGCTGTGTGCTGATAGGTACTAGGAACAACTTGTTCCACTTCATTTGTTACAATAAAGAATCAACTTGACCCTTTCTCATCCTAACGCTCACTCACGCTCTATGTAGATGGGGAAAGTTCGGAATCATTTGGACTAAAACTACGAATTCGCCCAATGTCAATGATCTGAAACTTGTACTTTGCTTAAGAAAAGGGGTAGCAGTTTTCAGGATGGATCATATCATTGTTTACTTCAGAGAAGAAATACTTCACCTTTAGCTTTGGCACATTGATCAGACCACATAGTTGGAGTGCACTTCGCATCGCCGAGAAATATACCATTTATTTATTTATTTTATTTATAAGCCAGTTTTCGGCAAGTTGAGGGAGAAAATCGCAGCGAGTCAAGTGGAAACCCTGAACTTGACCAGTTTTGAGTTGTGTTAATTGATATTAATTAGCATCTCCGATGTTGTGTTTATTAGCTGTTTTCAGTCTACTTATTCCGCTACTCTTTCATACAAAACAGCTCTCGGTCCAGCTGGTCATTGACGCTCATTGTCGTGCGGGGTTAAACCGTCTGGGAGCGGCACAACAAAATACCTCTCAACTGGAAATTTCTATCTCACTTATCACGGAGGTCTCAGTGCAATAGATATGAATCTGGTTGAAGAAATCAAACTTTTGAAATGGCTGCTGAAGCAGAATCCGCCGCGTAGTCTCATGCGTACTTTATAGTTACTGGTGAAAAACACTGGTGAAAAAACACCAGTTTTCATTCTCCTCTGCTTGCGGTGCTTGGGGTATCCGTCTTACCCCTATACGTAACACACAAATAAAGTTAGTCACCTAGGTACACAAAAATACGTTCTTATCGTATCTGTTGGGTACATTTTATTTTCGGCAAACTTGGAATCGGAGGTACTGTCAATTTTTTGTAAGAAAGTAACAATAAGCGCAAATAAAAATCTTTACACAGAAAATTACATTCGCTCGCAGCAAAAGGGATTTCGCAAAAAGATAACAAACTTTCGAAGAAATATAACCATAGGCTACCATGGCAACCAAGGTAAAGTTATGACCCAAAAAAGAACACTCTGCAGCGTAAACCAGTCTGAACTCTACTGATCGAGCGGTCAGTTAGGTAAAGAATGGAAGTTAGAAAAACAATTGGAAGCTGGGCGTCGGAAGTGTACGATGTTGCACAATCTACACTATGTCGTCGCGCAAATGCACTTGTTGTCTGGGAAGAAAAATGGTGGCATTGGTCTCAGGCTGTTGGGTGTCGTACCGGATGCGTTGGGCGAACAATGATTTCGTTCATGCGGCTCATCTCGGTGTGAAATTTGGTAACATGTTGAAAACTGAAGTTTTATGCACACATGGGGAAGATGCTGTCAATGTTGATTTCAGTGGGCCGAAATAATGCATTGGATGGATGAGAGAAAATCACTAAAAGTGAATCAGAGTTGCTATTCAGAGATTGGTAAATTTCATTGAACTTTGTACAACTTAGGCCTGAAGCGTTATGAGAAGACGTTCGGTTCACCTTTAGAAATCCGTCTCCGGTTGACTGTGTCTCACACCTTGCCGGCTGATTGACTCTGGGTGATTTGTACGATGGCGTTTCTTATTATCAACAGGTTCTGTTCCCTTACCGTCTTGGACTACGTCTTCGTAGACGTCCACATCGTGTTTGCTGCGCTGTGACTGTAACTCCCGAGTGGGTTGAATGTGCGGATCGCTCATAGGTTTTATGGTACAAATCACCTCTTCCCGAAGCACAAAATCGTGAAACAGAATACGGATTGGAGTGAAAGTTACGCCGTTTTCTACAAAATTAGCTATATGTGTGTAAATTTCCGGATAGTGATGACGTAAACTCACACCTCGTTCACGTAGCATCCGCTGCAGTCGAATCATATATGCCTCTCGAGCAGCAATGGCCTGTCGGTCGGGTTTATTCACCATTCCGTTGGTTTGCGGTAGGGAAGGCTTGGATGTCACTCTGGTCGGTGTGACTGGTTGCGTCTCAGTAGCCGCTTGCTTTTGGCCACTTCTACCACTGGTCTGGTGCGCGGGAAAAGGAACCACAAGACTTTGTTTAAAGAGATGCACAGGGCGCCCGTCTGATCTTGCAATGAGTTCGTAGGCACACACAACTACTAACAGAACCATGCTGGAAGACGGAGCATACCTTCTGCATGGGTTTGCAACTGTGGAATCTAGTTCTTCCAATTCACTAATCGTCAGATAAATTGGCGGAGACATGAGGCCACCAGGACTGGGCAGATGATGATTTTCCCAGCAGGAATACGCGTACTCCAAACTGTTATCTATGCTGCCTTCGTTAGCGGAACAAATTGCTTTGGACCTCTCCAAGAACAGCTCTGCATGTCTTACCAGTGCAAACGGAAGCAAGATTCCTCCACGACCCAGTCTCGCCATACCTGTCTTTGCCAATGCAGTGAGACCGTTCAGCTGCCCAGGTGCAAAACTCCGCAGAATTCGAGTACACACTCGCCTCGCGCGTGCAAACGAGCACACGGTTGGATGGTCATGGGCAGACTGCCGATCAATCGAGCGACATGCTGTTGAACAGTACAAGGTGTAGCAGTTGGCACATGCGCACCAGTTCGCTGCGTTTGCGACCTTGACCGATGGCTTAGTGCATTCTGACCGACCACAACTGATATATAACAACCCATCCTCTTTTTTTCGTTTGACAGAATCGGTGAGTTGATTGAGTGCGAATTCGCCCAGATTGATCGGTCGACGACTTTCCGGACCAGCAAGGAGATCAATAAACTCCGATCGATGTGAGTCCTCATCGACGTCAAACTCGTGTGCAGCTATGGAAATGGCTTCGGCCGCAGTCGGCGGCGAGTGATGATGATGAGGTTGTGGAGTCGAAGGCCACCATCCGAGACCAGTTAACAGATGATCTAACGCTGTCGGCCTGTTTGCTAGAAGTGCACGGTGCCGCGATGCGAAGGTGTCAACTAGGGAAGTTAAACATGTTAGGTCAGATATTTGATCCAAACCGTCGGTCACCTCGCTCTCTGTCTCACCATCCGCATCGATGGAATTCCATTCGGAACGTTGGGTGTCACTGTTTTGTGCTAACTGATGCTCTGTCTTTTGATAGTTTGATTGGGTTGCAGATGTGAACTCGGCCTGTGTTATTGGATTTTGTGTGGCATTCGAAGAGGTCCCATTTTGTGTGATTATCACGGACGAACAATGTGGCCGTTCATCACTGTGTTCCCCGGAATGTTCGGTGCCGGAATCATAGTCAGCCGGCTTAATATCTTCATACATCGTGCGAACGTTAGCTTGCTGCCGTCTGCTGATTGGTTGCATCACTTGGGTTACCTGTCCACTGTATGCTGTATTTGGTGCACCAGCTGCAAGATATGATTTTCTGCCTTCTCCACGAACGTTTTCGTAAGCTTCTGATATCATTTGGCAGCGGTCTCCCAATTTGGACGGGTTCTGTATTCGTTCGTTCACCGGGAATTGTCGGTCACGTGCCTGCCGCAGATTCAAAGTTGGGATCTCGTGACCCCAAATTTGCTCCCGCTTGGGCACAAAATCCTGTGGACTCAATTTCATCTCTGTGCTTTGTCCAGTCTGTCTTGTAGCCCGAGGTGCCGCTTGTGGTCTGATTTCGTCATTCGGTAAATTTCTCAATAGAGTTTGCATTGAGTTGTGTAATTTGGAAGTTATCGGCCTGAGGCGGGATATACTGCTTCCTCTCTCACGCAACTCTTGGCTTGGGCGGATAAATTTCGGTTGGTAACCTCCGATCAGTTTAGACCTACTAGCTTCATTTGTTGCATCACCAGTAGAGACCGCTTTTTCTGGATGGCGAGTGCTTGGTGATGAGCGAATGGAAGACAAAAGTGGTCGGGAATGTTCCATCAAAGGTCCCTTCGCAGGAACTCTTCTGTTCAGATCGGAAGAGATGCATTTCTGCACAACCACACTGTCAACGATTCCATCACCCGATTGTACAGATGAACGTGTTAAACATTCTGCCTTGTCCAACCACTCAGGTACATGCAGCTTTGTTAGTGATTGAGCTATTCGCAGCTCATGGTCTGACTTCGCTCGGTCGCGTAGCCGTTCGAGTAAACCTTTTGCACCCACCCCTGTCAGCTTGCTTTGTTGTGAGAATGTGCGGTAGTAGGACTTTGAAGATTCCTGTTCTCTGTGTGGCAAACCTTGTAGGCTCTTTGTACGTTGCCAATTTTGTTCCGGTTCTGTGCTCGCAAGATCTGGTCGTCTATCGTTCGGATACACACCACGATAAGTCGAGCCTGGTGTGTGCGCGAGTGTCAGATTGAATAGACTGCGTGTCTTCTGATCTGCAAACTCACCTATCAGTGGAGAGTGGAGACTTGGATTTTTGAAACCCGTCACCATATTGTCCACATCGGTTTCGAGCAATATTGGCCTTTCGTAATTCTCACCGGTGTCAATATCGGTTTCAAGCAATGAGCTGTACGATTTTGCATCTCCGAAAAACCTTCGCGTCGAGGTATTCAGCGAAGCTATTGCATGTATACCGCTGTAACTCGGCGGTGGTCGCTGTGTCGAACAACTGGTCGTTGTAATGCGATTTTCCAACTGTAATGAAGGTGCCAGTTTTTTAACTTGAGAATCGAGTTCAACGCCACTCTGTGGCCATCGTTTAGGAACCGTTGTTTCTCCGCGTGATTCGGCGATAGCTGAATCTAAGTCAGTAAAACGATAACGGGAGTCGGATCTAGAATCGCGCTGCCTAGTTGCTGACGTAGCTTCCGTTTGGACCACACGGGACTGCCTTTCTTCAGCTCTTTGACGACTCCGACTCCTTAAACGTTCTCGTATTTCGGCGTCGGAGGGTATAGGTTTTAGTTGCCACTTGGGACGTATCATGGGAGGAGAAAATCGAGACCCGTACTGTTTAGACGGTATTCGTGGAGTAGAACTGGAGATCTGTTCATTGATTTCCGTCTGAATGGGGGTGGTCGTCTGAGGAGCATTCATGAGTCTTATGTGACTTTTCTTTACCGGTACACTTGAGGGAGCATTTGAGCTACCGAAAGACAATCCACCCCCTTTTTCTGACTTATCGTAATGAGTATGGTCCACATAATTCACATCACCGAAAAACTTCTGGTGCTGTGACTCCGGAACCGATCCTATCTCGGAAGTCTTTCTGAATGATGGAAGCAATGGGGATTCACCATCATAGTTGTCCCTAACGTAAGATACTTCAGCGTTTTGTGGCAAAGGCGTCTGTGGTGAACTGATCAGTTTAACCGAGGTGTCGAAATACCCAGCATCTCCATGGAGTATACGGCTTTTTCGTTGTGATGCTAATTGTATGTCTTCCATGGGATGCATATCATTTTGGGGATAGGCTGAGGTAACGAGGACCACGCGATCGGGATTCGGATTAAACCGATCTCGATCACGTGGTTGCCCAACATCACTTGTTTGTTGGCTTCTGTGTGACCATTCTAGTTGGTCCTTTGACCGATCGTAGAAGCACTCGCGTGGAGAACTTCGTTGCACCCGTTCGGATGGTGGTTGCTGGAAAACTTTCTGCTCGTGATTGATGATATTATCAATTCGGATGATAGTGGGTGGAGCAAAGCCATTTGTTTCATTTGAACTGTTCATCACCGGCTGTGTACTGTTGGCTGCCGAGGAGATAGAGGTGTTCATTTGCCAGCCGTGCCTCAGATCATTTCCGACTGCGGGATCGTTTATATTTAGGTACAAATCTGATGAATCTGGGGCCCCAAGACGATTTTGGACTTCCTTGTCCCTTGATGCAGCGTAGAGAGAAGGGCGTGCAGCTATGGCTTCGGCACTGGCCAGAACTGCCGCCAATGGCAGGGCATCACGTTCTTTGTGTTCAGTGCTGAGGAACTGGTAGGGTTCTGTGGAGTTTTCGAGATGGTTTTCTGGTCCTGAGATGCAGAATAGAAGAAAAATAAACTATATGAGCATTATTTCATAACCATGTTACATGAAATGATTTGACACAGATGACAATTCATTGACGCTTCACCATGGCATGCTCATAGATCTCACAATCTTTCATCCCTGTGTAGTAATGATATGTGATTTTGCAACACCAACAGCGCCGTTGCTAATAAAGTGAGAAATCTTTTTCTCTTTCAGCTATACTTAATGCACTGGTGGCTAACGGCATGCAGTTTATAGCAAGCAGTTCATTCATCACTGTGGTTACTTAATGCCACAAAATAGGGTGGGCCTTGCGTTCGCTCTTCCACCTGGGATAGTGTCTACTTAAGTCAGATTAAGTCATCATTCTCCACAGGATATGTAAGTATTCTTGCACGAAGTAAAGGATAGATTCGAAACCCAACAAACGGGTCCATCTAAGTGACTCACTTCATGTTTTCGGGTGTGTGCAGATTCTTATTATTCACTGATGTTTAACAAAAGAAAATTGATCGTCAGCACCGTGGCTGTACACAGTGTGACCGCTTGCCGGCCGGAGTACTACAAGGGAGTCCAAGCCCATACCGGAGCGCGGACTCGAACCCAAGGCACAGTGTTGTAAGCCATCCGCACAAACCACCACATTATGGTTGTCAAGTCCTCAACAAATGTGACATTGAAACAGATTTCCAGCCAACAAGTCACCGGACGCAATCGGACTTTTCGATATTCAATTGGCGGTTTAATGTGCAGGTAAAGCTCATGTGGATCGGTGTCCTGACCTGACAGACCTGCCTACGCACAATATCGCTTTACGTGTGGCCTCATAGTCATCATCATCATCATCATCATTATACATGTCAGCTAGAGATAGTAAAACACCTCCGCTATTGTACCGCAATACATAAAGGAAATACATACATACATACAATACATAAAGGAAAAAATAAATACGACAGTTGAATGCCAGCTGAACTACCAGCAACGGATAGGCATCGTTCCGGTAAGCTACCAGCCGGCTACTAGGCAAAAAGAAAAATTATTATGTTTTACGCTATGAGATAAGATCGTAGGTGGAGGGGGAGGCTAAAGGGATGGGGAGGGACAAAGAAACTCACAGCAGGAACGCCACTGAGGTCGGCTCCTTGCCATATCAGCAAGTGTATCCAGCCAAACGTGTTCACCGTCTTTTGGACCCCAACCAGGGAGCCGTGAAGCTCCAACCGAGGCCAGCTCCGAAGTGAGGGCCTTCATTCCTCTCGACCAAGTCATCGCTTGGCCACCTCTCCTCTTCTTCCACCCACATCCCCGGTGAGCAAACAACGCACGTCGAGGGAGTCGGTGGGCTGGCATGCGCAACACGTGGCCCAGCCATCGGAGCCTGGTGAGTGAAATGAAGGTGCTGAGCGGTTCATTCCCTTTTCCTAGGCCGTAAACAAGGCGTCGAACACGCTCGTTACTCACGCGGTGTTCCCACCAGATGTGAGCCAAACTGCGAAGGCACCGATGGTCGAAGGTAAGTAGCCTCTTTATGTCCGCCGATCTTAGGGGCCAGGTTTCGCAACCGTACAGTAAGGTCGAACGTACCGCTGCATTGTACACTCTACCCTTCAGGGCGAGAGTAATGTCGCGCCGTCGCCATAGGTGGCGAAGGTTAGCAAAAGCACTTCGAGCTTTCGCTATGCGGTTCGTGATCTCGTCTTCGATCCCAAGGGCGCTGATGCAACTTCCCAGGTAATTGAATTTCTGAACGACTTCTAGCTGATCCCCACCAAGGGTCAGCACAGGGGGCGAACCCTGCCAATCCTGGAGGAACGCTTTGCACTTCGGTGGTGCAAAGCAAAGCCCGAAACGACTGACAGCCAGTGCTAATCTGTCCAGCGCGGCTTGACACGTCTGGGAGCTGTCACAGATGAGGGCAATGTCGTCTGCATACTCTAAGTCAAGGAGTCGTTCTCCTGGGAGTAGCTCCACACCTTCCAAGTCATGTCCTGTAAATGCAATCTCCATAACTTCGTCAATAGCGAAGTTGAATAGGAAAGGTGACAGCGGGCATCCTTGTCTCACACCGCTGGAGATATTGAAGGGTGGCGACAGCCTGCTGTAAGCCCTTACTCTGCCCGTGCTACGCGCATATAATGCTTGGATAATATTTACATATTTCTCGGGCACACCTTTCCTGAGTAGACAATTCCAAAGGGCACATCGATCAACCGAATCGAAGGCACCTTTGATGTCGAGGAACACGACTACGGTGGGCCGCCAATATGTGTGACGGTGCTCCAACAACTGACGCAAGGTGAAGATGTGGTCGATGCAGCCACGACCCCGACGAAACCCGGCTTGCTCCTCACGAATCTGGCTTTCACGAGCGCCAGTCAGTCTGTGGAGAATTATGGACGCGAGTAATTTGGAGGCGATGGAGATCAGACTGATTCCTCTATGGTTGCCGCATTCCGAGCGCGAGCCGCCTTTGAAGATGGGAACAATAACGGAGCGGCTCCAGTCGGTTGGGACAGTTTCCTGCTCCCACAGTTTCACTAGTAATTCATGCAAAGCATCAACAAGAGCAGAGCCTCCAAATTTGAAGAGGGCTGGAGGAAGATCATCTGGTCCCGCGGCTTTGTTCAACTTCAACAGTCCGATCTCACGTTCGACTTCTGAGCGAGAGGGTGGATCCAAAGGGACAGCCCACGGAGAGGGGCGATCAGTGACCGGCGAATCGAACAATTCTTGCCGATTAAACTGCTTTTCAAAATGCTCAGCCCAACGCTCCATACGTTTTGACAAATTGTGGATAGGCTGTCCACTCTCGTCACGTATAGTTTCACTAACACCAGGTCTCCTGCTGCCCGTTTCCCGTATCAGACGGAATAACTTACGATGGTTGCCAAGGGCAGCGGCCACTTCCATCTCTGACGCACGATGAGACCACCAAGATTCGCGGTCTCTCTTCAGGCTAACACGGAGTTTTGCCCGGAGCTCTTTGCGAGTTTCATTGTGCTCGCTTCCAGCCGGGATTTGCCGGCGAGCATCTATAAGTTCCAGAGACTGCGAAGAGACCCAATGTCCATGTTGTCTATTAGACATACCACATGAGGATTTGCCTGCTGCTAGTAAGGTCTGGCGAACATGTGACCAGTGACCATCAATTGTCTCCTGTGAGCGCTTGCTCAACTCGCATGTTAGCGTACTTCGATACGCATTCAGAACAGCTGGTTTTGTCAGTTGGCTGGTGTCAATACGCTCACAGCGTCGTCGTGGGCGTCCGCCAAAACGCATCCGCATGTCAGCACATACAAGTGCATGATCGGTGTCCACACATGTGCTCCAAATCGAGCGACAATTCTGGATGCAGCCTCTCCAGCGGTAACTTATCGCAATGTGATCGATCTGCGTGCAAGGCTGCTTCGAGGTTGGTGGGCGCCAAGTCACCCTTCGGCGGGTGCTGTGTCGGAAATTAGTGCTCGCAAGAAATAAGCGAGCATCTTCACACAAATGAAGTAACCGCTCACCGTTATCATTACGGGAGCCTACACCGTGTTGACCGCCCAGATGCAGTTCATCAGTGGACAACTTTCCAACTTGTGCGTTCATATCCCCCGCCAGCACAACAGTGTCCGTGCTTCTTCTGTGGCGAAGGAGCTGGGTCAATTGGCGGTAGAAGTCGTTCTTTACCGAATCATCGCTACAGTTTGTGGGCGCATAGGCAGCGATGATGAATAGACACCTGTTGATCCCACGTGACTTCGAAGCTTTGAACGAGCCAGCCAATCGGACCGCACACATCCGGCTACTGATTGGAATCCAATCAACCAGAGCAGCTTCAGCCCGGGGACTCAGGGCAATACCAACACCGGCTTGGCCGGTGCTCGAAGCTGCATCGTCACCGGATAGGCGCAAGGAGAAAATACTGCTTGCGTCCCCTGAAGGGGATCGCAAAGTGAGCACAGTGCTCGAGTCTTGCAGGCGAGTCTCTGATAAGCAGCAGATATCGATCGAGAGGGTCTCCAATGTTCGGGCAAGTGCTGCCTGTTGACCGATTTGTAGCAGTGTGCGTACATTGAGGCATGCCAATCTGAAGGAGGATCGAGGGCTCCAAATGGAAGCCGATGAACTGGATTGGACCGCTTGGTTGGACATGGGCTTGTCGACAGGAGAGAAGTGACGCTCCGCGTTCACGTGTGAGTTGAAATTAGAAGGTAAATGCCTAGCAAAGCATGTTGGGGGAGGGCCAAGAATCCGGGGGGTTGAAAACTGGGGGGATATAAGTGAAGTTGGAATGGGACGGTAAGAGTGAAAAAGCGTAAGAGGGGGAATAAGAAGACGGGAAGGCTTGAGCAGTAGCATCCAAACCCCTATCCACCCTGCTCGATGCAGCAGATAGGGCACCGTTTATTATCCTCTGCGGTGGCCAGAGCATCAAGAAATTGTTTGAAGGAAAATTCATAGTATTGGCCTCATAGTGAGGGACAAGTAATAATGCTATACGAGTTTACTACCTTCCGTAAATTCAGACAGTAGGCCCTGAAGGCGTGCGGATGAAATTATCGATGATTGGATCCTCAAGAATCCCGACCACATTTTTCGCCACCCCTTGAAACCTGGCTGCAGTATCAGCCTAGAGATCACAAGCCGAAGTTTTCCACCCATAATTTCCATCTGAAATGTCACCGGAGTGTTTCCTTTTTTCTAGTTTGCCAAACGTTTGGCATTCGTTCGACCTACGCCATCGTTGCATTTACATTATTATTATTATTGAACTAAGACTTAACGATGCTTCAAACAGTCGGCATGGCGGAGCGTTGCCCTCGAGAGGACATAGCATAAAGGAACGTTGTACCACATAAAACCGATGAGGCGAACTTCCGTCTGTGCGTGTACAATAGGTGAGCTATTTTGTCAGCCTGACCGTCATAAGTCAATTTCCAGCTCTTGAATTGTTACCTCTGTGAAACGTACGCTCGTCGAAGTGATAATGACGGGCTTGCGAATCAAACAC